CTTCCTTATCCAACTTGGAAAAGGCAGAACAGACTTCGCGGTTTTTGGTGGCGAAAGGCTCGGAGAGGTATTTCCTCATTCTGATTTAGCTGGTGGTATTACTCAACGTCATTTTACTAACCCGTTTAGCGGCATATAGGCAACTCCTTTTAGTGCTGTCGAAAGCGGCTTTAAAGTCGACAAATAGGTGGTGAGTGACGATCCTTTTCTCGGGGTCTTTTTCAAGATTTGGCGTATTGTGAATACCTGGTTTATGGTGGAGTTTTCAGGCCACACTGATAAGGCCCAATCAGTTCATTGACGGTGGGCTTCAGTCTTTCACACAATACGCTCGATAAGACCTTGTAACCTATGCTTAGAAGGCTGATCCCGCGGTAGTTGGCGCGAATGGCGGGGTCACCTTTCTTGTGGATTGGGCAGAGCGCTCTTAAATTGCCAGTCGTCGACTGAATACGAAGAAGATTAAGACGACGAATATGAACACTAGCTCCGAGGACGAATACGAAAAAGCGATTAAAAATGACTTATACAAATGCGCGTGAAAACAGCGAGTAATATGAGCACGAAATTTTCGAGACCCTTAAAAAAACATGAAAGAGGCCAAATTTCAGCAACTGGCACTCCTTGTTAATATTAAATTAATATTCACTAGGAACCTCTTGCGACTAGTTATGTGATTTTTTCAATACACCCGATAAAGGGTCATCTAGGCGTTCAGATAACTGCGTACCTTGAGGCACTTCTGGAAAAACCTTTTCTGCACAATAAAGTTAGTTGACTATTTACAACACAATTCATATAAGGAAAGTCATTCGCTCTCGGGTTTGAAGAGCAACTTTTGTGGAATTTTCTCTTCCGAGATTATAAATGACGAAAACCCCCCGCTGTACTGACAGCTCTTGGACTGGTGTTGGAGGAGAGACCTATCGTAGATGTTTTACATGGAACGATCTCTTTAGCTCCTACATAAAGGCCGAGGAATTGACTCCTTCGTCAGAGATTTTTGATGTGTAAACATCTTTGCTCTCAGTATAGGTACAATTTTTCACTAACTCAGCAGGAAACTGTAACTTATTTTCGTGTAACTTTCAGGACTAGTGTGCAATCAATTTGGGACTAGTGCAGAACTATTTTTGGATTAGATCGGGACCATTTTGGGACTAATAAGGGACCATTTCGGCGCCGTTTCAAATCTTTTTCGAGATCATTTCGGGACCACTTCAGGAATTCTTCCACCGTTTCGGAGCCTAGTTCCGAACCATTTCAGGATGACTAGCTTAAGTCAGTTTGGTCCTTTGAAATAAAATAAATGAAAATGTAAAAAAACGAAGTTTCTTATTTCATAAAAATTTTACAAAAATTTCCAAGCAAAAGTGATCGAGAAACGGCAAACATCGAAAGTGACTAGCGATCCGCAACAGAAGCAGAAAACCATAACTAACGAAAATCAGCAAGCGCTTGAGCTGCAATGAAATAGAGATCTTCTACTAAACGAAACAAAATGAAAACGAAACAATGGTAATGTTGAGCGCGCGCGCTCAGCTCATGCCACAGCGTACAAGCAAACCAGAAGCCAAGAAGCAGTTGAGTCGAGGCTGAAGTCAAAGAAGCCAATGCAAAAGCACAAGCGTGAAAGCGGTGAGTGATTTACGCATACAAACATACATATTTACTTAAGTCCAAGAGTAAGCGCACGTGTGTGTGTGCGTGTGTGGGAGAGTGTGTGTGCGAACACGCGTGAAAGCATTTCCAAGACCAAGACGCACAGCCAGCAAGCGAGCAACAAGCGAAAGCCAACAACAAACACAACGACTTACAAGGCAACAATAACAACAAGCCATGTGAAAAAGTAGAAGCTTATGACTGCCAGCAAGATTGGTAGAAGTGGCNGACTTACAAGGCAACAATAACAACAAGCCATGTGAAAAAGTAGAAGCTTACGACTGCCAGCAAGATTGGTAGAAGTGGCAAAAAGCAGCAGCAATAGCTGAAAAAGAAGAAGAAGAAGTGGCAGCAAGCAGCAAAAGAAGTAGAAACAGCAACGACGAAATGGGAAAAAGTTTTGCGGCTTAGCGGTTTGGGGGATAAGCGTTGGTTTCACTTCAGCACGCCGCACAGACGTTCCCAGTTGCTCGGCGTAGACGTTACGTTTTTTCGAAAGACGCGGAGAACGTAAGATTCTTAAAAGAGTTTTGAATTTTGAATTTTGAGTTTTTTCTATTGTGGTAGCTGCTGCATTGTTGTGTGGAAGAAAGGAATATTTTTTTTTTTGTTTTCTCCATCGGAACCACAAACACAGAATATTGGAGATCTATTGGAAGTGAGCGTCGAGGAAGAATTTAAGCTAAAAAAACTTGGTGGCGATATAACACAAAAGACCCTAGAAGGGCTCAGTTGCGTTTGGATACCATTGTAGAGCGGAATGCGAAGCAGAGAGCTTGAATAAGGGGAAGAAAAACACCGAAACAAGAACCATGAAATGAATAACAATAAAATTAACTGTGAAAAGTACTGGGTACAAAAAAGTTAAATTCAAATTTTATTTTAATTTGAAAATGTGTTAAAAATCTCATTTCTAAATAATTTTTTTTAAAAGTGCGAATTACAAACTTNAAAATGTGTTAAAAATCTCATTTCTAAATAATTTTTTTTAAAAGTGCGAACTAAAACCTTAAAAAAAAACTTTTTATACTAATCGCTAGTGATACAGCAAAGTTGTGCTGGAAAAAAAAATTGTATACATTTAAAAAAAATATTTCTCCACAAAAATTCGAAAATGTCGCTGACTTGAGTTTCTCTGGCGATGCTGGCCGCTATTAAAGTGAATTGAAGAAGAGGAAGAAAAAAACTCAGAAAGGCATATAGAAATCAGCCAGCCAATAAATTCCATACTGAATACTTTTGTATATGCGTACAAGTGTGTGCGTGCGGCTGTATGTAGATACATATGTTTTAGAAATGCGCGTACAAGTTGTGTGTGTGTGTGGACGCCTGTTAGCAGCAACAACAACAACATAACCAGCACCAATACAACAAGCGCCACAGCAACAGCGCGAAAGAAAAACACCAACAGCAAGAGCAACAGCAACAACAATAAAAACTAGTAAACGAAAAGTGAAAGTGTGAATTCTGTTGAGTGCTGGAAATTTTTCACTTTGCTTTCTATGGAACAAATAAAAGAAAAAAATTTAACAAAGAAAAAATATAAATATGCCAGGCTGATTAGTAAAAGCAAGTAAAGGCAAGTGACTATCATGAATATTTAAAATTTTAAGTGTAAAAATTAGAAAAGTTATAAAAAAAAACTAAAACTGTTCAACTGCTACATTTGCTTAAATCTCAAAAACTGGATACTTTCAAGGATTTTGTAAAAAAAAAAACTAAACCAACCACAAAGCCCACAAAGCCAGCACCCAACAGCAGCATAGTGAAAATTGTGGATTAGCCGCGTACAAACACCTGTGTACATACCTACTCGGACATACAAACACAATTTAATTGAGCATTTATCTCAACTTTGTCGTTGTTTTTGGTTTTTTGTTTTTTTGTTTTTTTGGTTTCGTTAGCAAACATTGCACCAAAATTCAAAGTAAACAGCATCCATGGATATGGCCGCCAACGAAATCATGGCCGCCAATGAGATTATGGGGTCCAATGTCAATGCCAATTGCCAGTATTCGACAAGATATTGCTGTAAGTAGAGAAACAAAAATTAATTTTTAATTTGAAAAGGACTTATGTACGCTCGCATTGATCCAAAAAGAAAAACATGGAAATTGAAAGCATAAATAAAAGAACTTTATTCCAGCCAATACTAAAATTTTTAATTTTTGAGAAACCCAAGGTTGCATTATAAAATTTAAGAAAGGAAAAACATTTTTTCGATATAAAGGACATGAGTGCATTCTTGTAACCTGAAATAAAATTTTCAAGACAAACTAATATTTACAAAAAATAAAAATTTTAGCGAAATTTTTTTTTTTCAAAATAACTCACATGTGTTAGTTAAAGTGTTGTTCAAACGTTCGCATGCAGTGCTGGAATATTCGTGGAGTACTAAAATTCTCTCCAATAACTAGTACTAAGAGTTCCAAGAAACGCTAAAATGTCTAAAAATATCTCGAAATAAAAAAAAATTATTATTAATTGAATTGAAAATTTAATACAATTTACGAAAACTACTAAAAAGTACTAAACCACTTTTCACCGACATTTTCTTCAAAGTTACAGTATAAAAAGTACATATAGAGCTAAAATTTTGTTTGTTCAAAGTAAAATTTTCGAAGGGTGCTAAAATGTACTAAAGTATTAAAGAAAATGCATTTCAGCAAGCGTTCTTTCAGTTTCATTAACATTTATAGGAGGTATTGAACTGAAAAATTTTGAACGAAATTTTTTTTTAATGTGACATATATATCGAAATATTCGAAGAGTACTAAAAACTACTCAGGCAGTATTAAAATTTTCTTTACACGCTTTAATGCACTAAAAAATATTCAGAAAAAACCGAAATCAGAAATTCAGAATATATGAAAACAAAAAAATATCTGAAGTACTTAACCGTCCTGAAGAACGTTAAAAAAATTTAACGTTACATATGTAGGTCGAAATTTCTTTTTTTGTACCCGGTCGGTGTATGCGAACAGTACTAAAACAATTCAAGCCATACTCAAATTTTTTGAAAACGCTAAAATATACTAAACAAATTTTAGAAATAAAAAAACAGAAAATATTAAGATGCAAAAACTAATTTTAAGCACGAAAATATTCTAATAGCACTAAAAACTACTCAGGCACTCAGAAAATATTAAGGGGCAAAAACTAATTTTAAGTTACGTAGGTCATAAAATTATTAAGTCATCCTCAGGCAGTGAAAACATACATATTCTAAGAGTACTAAAATTTTCTTTAAATTCTTAAATATAGATTATGTTAGAAATTGAGGACATGAGGGCATTCGCTCAGTATGAAATTAAAAGAAAATTTCCAAAGTAGGTATTAGAATGTGGTAAAAAATTTAAACGCAAAACATTGTTTTGGAAGTTATGTAAATACTTAACTACTTAGGTCTAAGAATTGTTCAAAAGTCCTTAAGCAATACGCAATCCACCTGTTCAATTGTACCCATTGGTAATACTAAAATTTCAAAGGTGTACTAAAATGTCCTAATGAAATTTTTAATGAAAGGTATATGTAATTCAGAAATATTCAATAAAATTTTCGAAAAGTGCGGAAATATACACACAAACAAAAAATTTAGGATTTTTTTTTTAAGTTACGTTCGCTAAGAAAACGTTACAACGTCTTCAGACTACACCAATATTCCACGAAAGAGTTCCAAAAAAATTGGATTATTGTTCTAAAAGGTACACAAATTTTATACCAGCTCCTAAAAGTAATAAAAAGTATATTTCTAATAAATATTATATTTATCCTGTAACTCTGCCCGTAGCTATCGTTATCGCTTAGACCCCTCCATCAAAGGTAAAGTAGGACGTGGTTCTTTTAGTACGTTTATATAATATTTCATTTACTTGAATAAGCACATAGAGAAACCTGCCTAAGGACTCCCTCTCCCGTCTAGCAATATAACCCGCTTAATTAACCCATATATGTATATACATATGTGTGTGCTTATTACATTTCTAAAATAAGAAAGGTGAAGGGAATTTTATGGAGAGGCTTCTGCGAAAGAGTAGAAATTAGCCCTGCTGCAGCCAGCTGGGTATTCGTAACCTATTTGGAACCCTTCCAGCATCCAGTACGGTACAGCGTAATATTTGCAAGACTATAGTAGGTTGTGGAAGTTTAGTGGAGGTTAGTTAGGAGTGGGTATATCCCCAGAGATTGGATGATCGACAAGGTGGCGTTAGTCTCAAAGGTCGCGAAGAGCTCTCCCGTTTTACCTAAACATGTACCAAAGGCCAATCAGTCTATGTTCGTTGCTGCTGAGACTGATGGAGCTTGGCAGAAGAAGGGGAATTCCAAGAGTTCGTCTACCTAAAGCTCAACTTGCTTGTAGTAAAGGAAGTTCTCTTAAGGCCATTCTACTACAACAATTCTTTGTTCAAAATATTTTTTTCTATTAATGCAAAATCCTGTATAGTCCTCCGAACGCAACTGACGCAAACGCATCAGAATATTACATTTGTAAATATGCATATAGCCCTGAATTGCAACTCATTCATCATTCATGCAGCGAGAAATGAAAGCCAATCGACACGACGACGGCTGTTTTCCACCAAACGATCTACAATGCCAAAACGGTGCTACAGTTATACTGAAATGTTGACCACCAACTACACACCAAGCATGAACCACACAGCCAAAGTACCGGCAGTCAGCCATACTGCCTTTAAACCGCCCAACACTTGCTGCAACTTTCAAGAAAAGTCTACGAAAATTACTAACCTGACGGCAGTGTCATTTATCTTGCGAGTTCAAAAGCAGTCAGAAAAACGAATACAATTACAAACTGGTAATCACATACACATACATACATATGGTATGTATAAATCAGTGTAGGCATTTATTTGTTGCAGCGTGATTGTGAATGAGCTGGAGCTGGAGCTGCGAGCTGCAGCCTGCAAGTCGTTGGACGACAAGTTTGCAAGCAGTTTCACTTCGCAGCAGCCAAAGAAGTGTACGCAGCGAAAGCAGCAGCGGCAATCTGCAGTCTACAGTCTGCAGGCTGCAGTCGGCTGGGCAAACAGTTGAAAGCTCACCACCGTAATGGCAAACAAAAACAACAGCAACAACACAAATTATAGTTGGTGCGCATGAAACCTAACCTCCAATGCAACTTTTCCCTCTCTTTGCTGCACTGTTTTTTGTAAAATGTTTCTATTTGTTTTCGGTTTTGATTTTTGTTTTGGAAAATTTCTCTGTCCACTCGGTGTACGAGTAAGATCAACACGAAGTTGAATGACTGCTTTGTTGGACTTGGGCGCAGGTGGCAGTTGGCAGTTGGTGGGGTGGATTGGTTCAATCGTTGCCTTGACTGACTGCCTGTTTGTGCAGAAAAGTCTGGTGGTTTTATTTTTGGTTTATGCTTTTTGGTTGCATATTTTTGCACTGTTTGTTGCTCGTTTGATGCGCCTCCTGTTAGAGTTGTGCTCATAGCGTTTTTTTTAATTTACGGACATTTTCTCAGATTTATATTTGGATTGTTTTATTTATTTACTTTTATTTTTATTTCCTGAGAGGTATTTGTCAATGTCATAGATGCATTTCATGATAATTTAGTGCATTAAAAAAAATTTTCAAAAAATTATAAATTTTTCACTTACTAATTATTAACCGAAGCAGGAATTTCTTCTGATTTTTGTAGATTATTTTTTATTGTAATTTTTTTTTTGCAACATTATTTGCAAATCCGTTTGGCAATGTTTCTGGAATCAATTTATAAATTTTTCCAGATGCAGTGCAGGTTCTACACTCAGCTTAACAAATTCTCATGTCTGCTGTAGCCCGAGCTTCGAGCTGTAGACACACTCGGTTGACGAAAGAAGCTACCTTTCTGCTTAGTGATAGGATTAATAAGGTGGCTGCCTGTTCGTACCCGCAAAGTTCGTAACGGATACCATCTCTCCATAAATCTGACTGCAACTCGAAGCGACTCAAATGCTGCTAAGTGGATCTAAATTATAACAATGCAGCGTCGAATATTCTATGCTGAGGATAGTGATTGTATGCCGCAGCCTGCATCTAGGAACTTAGCGTTTTTGTAGACCAAAATAACTGATAGTGAGCTTTTTTATGCCGCCAGCTTTTGCCCCAAAGCGAAGATGCACAGCTCCCAGTTGGAAAATTAGAAAGAACAAGGCTTTCTGGGGCTCCGTCGTGCTGGATACTTTTCTTGCTTTTTGTATAGAATCGCCAGAGTAAAGGTCGTCTTGATGCTGCTTCCTTGTGTAACGAAAAATTTTGATGAGATATTAATGTATTTTACTTTCGTTACTTTGCAAACACTTCTTCTTCTTGCCTGCGCTCGGATGGCGGTGCTATTAGAAGATCGTTTATTTATCAACAATAAACAGGATGCTTACAGACTATATGATAGATATGTACATACAAAGACCTTATGACAAGAGCCTTACGAATAAATTCTTAAAAGTAGACTTATAAGAGCTTATTGAAAAACTTTCTCTAAAGAGAAAAACAATGTCTTAAACCCTATACAATTAAATGACTATATCTCTACAGCCAGACCATATTTAACCGGGAGAAATATTCAGCTTCACTGGATACACCGTACTCGAATTTATATTTCGCTTCCGGTTCCTTGCCTGATGAATTTTTAAGCTATTTAGTACAGCGTTACTAGACCCACTAACTTCCGATAACGAAAAACCAGGGACCAAAAATAACGGTTATTTTTTTCGATGTTATAAAAGCCCGGGGCAAAATTTTGCCGTAGAAGAAAGTTATCGATGTTCCTTTGATCCCAGGACCTTCTGGCCAAGAATCCTGTATTATTTTTATTTTTGGAACTTTTTAAGAAAAATACAATAATAACTGAAAAATCCGGACTTTTTAGTCCAGTAATGACGCTTGAAATTGGCCAAATATTTTTTTGGGCTGAAATAAGCCCTTTCCAAATAATAAACGAACTGCTTATCAAAATTAAACAAATTTGGTATTAAATGAAAGACACCTAGCCGTTGAAAAGATTAAAAACTTAAATGCATAAT